TTTAAATCCTTGACAGCTGGGGAAAATACCATACTCTTTTGCCAGACCAGCCACACAGCTGATGTATTGGGCATATGGAGCACTGCTCTGACTCACATAATATCCATAAATATTAATTTGAAATTCCTGGAAATGAAACAGGGACAAATTACTTTCTTGTTTCAGAGTGCATAAAAATACATATATTAGTGAAAATTGCTTTGCAAAAATGTGTATATAGGGCAAAATTGCATAAAATAATGTGTATATTAAGAGAAATTCACACAAAAATGCTGATAATTTTTCATAAAAGAAATCCCAGATGGATGTGGAAACGTGAAGATCTGAACTTAAGATTGGAAAAAATGAGAAACTTAGAGAAACTGATATTGAGAGATTTGCACATCCCTTTCTGACACAAAGGATAGAGCACTGGACTTCAAGAAGGTTTCAGCCTCAGGCCACCCACATCCACTTAGGATTCCATGCTCTGCCTCATAGCATCAAAACTCATTCATCAGTGGGGGTATGACTTGTCTGTTCCACAGTATTGTTATGAGGGGGAAAGAAGAAAAAGAATGTAAAGCACTTTACAGATTACACTGATAAAATGACTTATCATAGCCATTGTTTTCATCATACAAAAAAGAATGCGATGATGCTTGCCCTGAACTAAAGTTTCAGCAACTTTTGTCACCAGCTTGAAAAAATGCTGAATCAATCTTCTAATTAGGAAGCTTTGTCCTAATGTTTTATTGATTTTAACTTCCAATAATTTAGTGTGGTACTATAAGTTCCCAAGTCTTTGATGACACAGCCTAAAATGCCACTGATTTTTATGCTGCGTGCACCCACTATTCATTCTTATCCAGTCTGTGATCCTATGTGCAAATCTTATTTTACATTCCAAGAGTAGCATTTTTGGTGTTTAAAAAAGCGTTTCTCTAGCATATCTGTATCAGATTATCAATTAGCACAAATTAAGTACACATGATACACTTCAGTTTGCTTGCTTCAGTGAAAATTGCTCTTCACATAGCTTTAGATACTCTTTGGGTTAGCATTAGAATAAACGTTTTGGTCTCTCGGACTAAAAAGCAGACTATTCTTTTAGTGAATTTCAACATTTCAACATTTCAACTGAATGCCACTGATTATCAAACAAAACAGTGAAATGGATCCAGAAATATGTATATGCTACACATCCAGAAGGGACGCGGGTGGCGCTGTGGGTTAAACAACAGAGCCTAGGACTTGCCGATCAGAAGGTCGGAGGTTCGAATCCCCGCGACGTGGTGAGCTCCCGTTGCTTGGTCCCTGCTCCTGCCAACCTAGCACTTCGAAAGCACGTCAAAGTGCAAGTAGATAAATAGGTACCACTCCGGCGGGAAGGTAAACGGCGTTTCCGTGCGCTGCTCTGGTTTGCCAGAAGCGGCTTAGTCATGCTGGCCACATGACCTGGAAGCTGTACGCCGGCTCCCTCGGCCAATAAAGCGAGATGAGTGCCGCAACCCCAGAGTCGGTCACGACTGGACCTAATGGTCAGGGGTCCTTTTACCTTTACACATCCAGAGCCAGGTGCACCAACTCTAGGGGGCCAAGGTGTCTTCAACTCTCTCAATATTTCCTGGAAGAGGGCTGGGCCCCTGGCGCACATCACGCATGTGGGACATCACACACACGTGTTGTGTGTCACAACTTCAGTGGCTGGCTCCTTCAGAGCACTCAGCCTCCTCCAGATGATGAGCCATCACACACATAGCGTGCACCGAGCCCTCTCACTCTTTGGGGCAACCTGACGCCAATTTATGACTTTCACATTCAGACAGCAGCTCCCCAAACTGAACTCCGTAACAACAGAAAAAGAGCCTGCTGGATCAGGCCATTGGCCCATCTACTCCAATATCCTTCTCTCACAGCGGCCAATCAGGTGCCTATGAGAAGCACACAAGCAGAACTTGAGTGCAACAGTGCTCTTCCCTCCAGAAACTGGTAATCATAAGAATTCCTACTGCTTCTGATAACCTCTGATAGTCTCCATAAATTTGTCAAAATTATCTTTTAAAAGCCTCTCATAGAAGCAAATTCTATAGCTTAATGAGAGAGGGAGAAAAATGTTTTTCTGTCCACTTTTCTTTTAACTCCACCATATAGCATGATATCTGCTGTTAAAGAAATGGCCTAAATATGCGTACACGGATATTTAAGATGGGGATGGCACCTTTCAATGGATCTGTTTTTATGGTTATGGATCAACTTAATAACAGCAGTTCACTACTTCCTAACTATAGTCCTTAAGTGTTTGAATCATTCAGGAAAGCAACAAAGTACACTAAATATACAGTATTATTCAGCAATGCCCTTCCCCATAGCTGACAAACTATAAATGCTTACATCAGGGGTGGGTAAGCTTTGGCCCTTCAGATGTTGTTGGATGACAACTCCCATCATCCTTGATCATTGGCCATGCTGGCTGGATGTCATTGGATCTGGAATCCGGCAACATCTGGAGGGCCAAAGGAAAGGTTCCTAGAAATTCTCCTCCTTTTAGGTGCATGTTTCATTGCTTAATGATGAACACACATACCACAGCAACTGGTAATGAATTAGTTCTCTTAATTGCCCCAGAGTCAGTTTTCATTCCCACAGGTGTGAGGTGGGGGTGGGAAGACTTTAATCATTAATTGCTCTCATTTATCTTTTCATTTTTTAGTAGCAAATTAGCAAAAAATAAAAAATAAGAAGAAATCAAGTTGCTAATTAAAGCCACACCACACACCCACACCCATATCAACACCCATAGGAATAGAAACTGACATTGGGGCAATTAATTGGCTATCCAAAAAGCACCATATAGGTTATTTATTAGTTATTCACCACCCACACCAATAAAGGAGGCTGAATCTTCTAACAGGAGTGCTTAATTATTTAAAGGCAAAGGAACCCTTAAAAGTCTTAACAGCACTTTGACTATCCACACTAGAAAGGCTGGTGCTACAACCGCATACAAGAAGAAAAATCAACACCAATGAGGTTGGGGGGCGGGAGGGAGGGCAACACAGAAAACAGTGAAATGCAATGGGCTGATAATCACAATGTCTGGATCTTTAAAAATGGAGTGCACAAAGGATAGCAATTCCAGCGAAATCAGCAAGTGTGGAAGCAACCTTTGATTTGCCCAGAAACCATTGAGAGTTACTGACAGTGCTTTTCATATATAGCTTTCCCATCTATAACAGGCATCAATGACAGCGCTCCTCCATGGCTCAGAAGCTCATATCCACCAGAAGCTGTGCTTCCAGAATTTTGAGTCCAGTTCTGTGGAAATCCTTCCCAGCTGAGGCAAGACGGGCCCAGTTGAACATCCAGCATTTAGTGAATATCTTTTTTATTTAAGAAAGCATTTTCAGTATTCCCCCCCTGATTTTACGGTTAATTTTAATTGATTTTATCTTTAGTGTGTCTTTAGTCATTTTATTGTAACCTTAGAGACTATGGTGTTAAGCGGTATGTAAATAGTTGGAATAAATAAATAGGTTCTCAACCACCTCCCCATATCAAAAGCATGTTTCAAACGTCTCTGTCCTGTTTTCCAATGAATCAATATCAAAAGGGTAATACAGGCTTGCAATATCAAAATCTAGATCCCCTCCCCTCCCCAGATTGGTAACTGTGTTAGTTTGTTGCAGCAAAAAACAACAACAAAGGTCTTGTAGAATCTAAGAGAGTAACCAATTATTTATGGCACAAGCTTTTTTGAACTAGAAGCATGTGATAAAGCAGATTATATGCCACAAAAACTTATGCCACATAATAAAGACGTTCTTCTTTAAAGGTGCTACAAAAGCCTTTGTCGATTCCCTTGATATTTTATCCTAAAATTGGGAGTGGTAGAAAATCTGTGTTTCTCCCATACCACGTTTGAGTTGAAAACTGGCTTTTAAGGGGGGCAAGGGATAGGGAAATACCCCTAAAAAGCTGTGTGTCCCACCAGCTTAGATTGAAGGAGAAACAACACAACTGGGTGAGCTGCTTGGCTTAAATCCTGCATCTTAAAAAAGACATTTCAAACTAGATAACTAAATCATCCTGAAAGTATCCAAAAGATGATGTAACAACGTTCTGAAAAATTAATTAAAGACACATTGCTGTCAGCTCCAGGAAAATAATAAAAGTTGGGAGATTAAGAGGCAAGCATATCTTTCTGAATTGTAAAATAGGTTTATGGGTCTTCTAATAACAATTTTTACTCAAACCTTACATAAATAGGCTTATATGATACAAATATTACGTGGGCTATGTGGAAACTACAACGTCCATAATCATGTTTAGGGATTACTTGACAGAACAGAGACATTTCATTTCTATTGGACCTAGGGATTACAGAAAAGAAACATCTAATATTCCATTTTTTAATTTCATGCATTTTTTATTTACCTTTAATGATGCTGTATATATTCATCATCCTGAAATATTAAAACAGTATGAAAAAAGTAATAAATTGGTGGAAAATTTAGGAAATGGGAATGCAACAGCACGCAAATCATACACTATCAAGTGCTTGATACACATTTAAAATTACTGCCTAGTACGGCAAAGCCAAATTCCTGGCAGATTTCTGAAGCGCAAAGTCACAATAAGAAGATCAGCAGAACAGCCTGAAATAATAGAATATTCATCCCCCTAATCCATATGCAATTCTTTAGGGCTTTTTTTTAACAATGCATATGAGGTCTGACTGTATTCAGGATTTAAATAAGTTGTCTCTCTTCCTCTCTCCATCCCTCCCCCTTACCCTTCTCTCTCCTCTCACACACAATCGCACTCGATTTTTGTAAAAAAATAAAATAAAAATGTATATACAGTTATCATTTCTGCTCTGCTGCACTCACAATGACAAGGTTAGCACATCTTCTCACACCTCAGATAAAAAATAGCTTTTTAAAACAACAAAAGTGTTAAAAGAAATGTATTTATTCATACAAAATTTTAAAAGACTTATTTTATTTTAGTTTTTGGAAAGGAGATATTACACTTCCTTATTTTCCCAAATTATTGGGAAGCCTATGCAGTGTGCAATGTTTTAAATTTTACATTCACCTTTTTTTGCAAATAAATTGGAAGGGAAATGTATTTGGTATTAGATCTTTAAGATCATGCATATCTTTCCAGATACATGTGATTTTCGATGTATTTTTAAGAGAAGGGATAGTGACCTACTGAGGAATGGCTGAGAAAACTCAGATGCATATGCTAATAATGCTAACACAGCAAATGCCAGTGTGGATGTAAACACAGCAAAGAAAGTGATATTTAGTGTGGCATAAAAAATACAGTTGCTATGGACCTGAAATGAGGAATGACAGAGAGGCCCTCATACTAGTCTTCCTCATTCAATTTTCAAAAGATTCATACTGCACTGTCTAATTCTCAAAATGAATTAAAATCTATCAGTGTTTAGTGGTTGCTGCAGTCAACTAGAAGTGCATTCAGTACCAGGGAACTAATGGCCTGCTCAGCTCACATAAATTCAGTGAACATTTAGGAAACTTGTTCGTTATCCTGGAATCTACTGGTAACAAAAAGCCCAAAAGAAAAGTTAGAAACTGTTTGGAACAGTGTGTGTGGACTTTTACAACTCACAAACAGGTAGTGGCAATGATCAAATCATTCTTTGCCATTGGGTGAGGCCTCAGCAGTTGCTGAAAACATTTTAGAGCAGGAATGGAGAACTTGTAGTTCTCCAGAAGTTGTTGGACTACAATTTACATAATCCCTGACCACTGGCTACGTTTGCTGGATCTGATTGGAATGTTAATCCAACAGCATCTGGAGGGCTGCTGGTTCCCCATCCTTGTTTTAGAGGGTGAAGCTCTTGCACAGGGCATGCCAGTTCCCAGCTCCATCTTCCATCTACATAGCAACAGACACAGCAGGGGGAAAACCACCTGCAGGTTGCAGCCCTTCCCAAAAGCCAAAGTTAAAAGGGAGGAAATGTCATAAGGCTGAAGAGTTTAGGATACAGATCTGAACTGATATCTAATATTTTGCCGTTAAAACAGGCAAAGCAGAAACTTGAATCGGTTCCCCATCTCAAAGATTGCTGTGACAAATGTAAAGCGCTTTGCACAAAGTAGTAATACTTTTTCAAGAAAACATAAAGTCATCAAATATTGGGCTAAAGGGACGTTTCTTGCTACCGCAGTTCATACTAGAGTGTCTCTTGGTCTGTGGACAGGAAGGCCCCTGCACTAGGACAGAAGCTAACATTCCAGAGTTATGGCCTGCATGCTTGGCGATAACCCAGGCAGTGGTGGTTTGTGCAGTGGTTTGCCTTCCAATTCCAAAGGTCACTGCTAAGTGCTACTGAATGGTGGAGGAGATCCAACACTGTCATTGTAGGGCTTTACAAAATTGAAGCAGGAGCCCAGTGGATGAACATGTAGGTGCGTGGATGTTGAGTGGATAGCAGCATCCTGAGGCTGCCACTGATGCTGGACAACTTTATCCACTTGGAAGCCATGAACCTGCATGTGCTATAAGAATTCTGGTGCTACAGAACTATCACATCTGCTGCTGCAGCTGACTGTAAGGGACCCTGGGTCCACCCACCTCATGAAATATGTAATGCGGCTGCTTGGGGGCAATCAAAGGCCTTGGACCCATTCAGCTTCTTCTATTGAATTTTAAAGGATTACTCTGTTTCCTGTGACGAAAGTACATTTTTGTCATTCCTGATTAATCCCCCAGCTAATGTTTAGAAAGGTGACTTTTTGGCACTGATCAGATTTGACAAAAGTAGTTTCAAGCTAAGTAATGTCTAACTATTTATAAGGTTCGTCATGCTTCTTTTTTTAGAAATGGCATTTAGATTAGCTATAGGGCTAATTTATTGTCTTGCAACTCCATTCTGGGACTTGCATGCAGTATTTGAATCACATAAAAGAAAACCATATGCATATCATGTTTCCAATAACTGATCTCATCCAGGAATGGATGCCAAATTATCTAATTCTGGCTGTAAGGGCTGAGGTTAACTCCTTACACTCACAGTTCTTGCCATTCAAAGTGGTTTGCTGCCGATTTGGTATGTATTTTTGCTCCATGGCTAACACACTTTCTCACTCTATTTGGATCAGCATAATCTCTGATGGAGTACTTTACCATCAGACCTTATGAAACTTGATTTTTCAAGCTGCTCCAAATACCACGACTGACACTGTAAAAGGAAATAGCAAAGATCCTTATAAGCTGTTCATCAGACCTCAAATCTTCTGATAATAAAATCCTTGTAGGAGCCCAAGTGCATTCACCTTAAGGTTCAGCTGTGTTGACTTCAATCAAAATTACTCTTAACGTGCATGAGAAAAATCGGCTACAAAAATATCCACTGATCTTGCAGGAAAGAATGAGCAATATGCTTGTTTTGTACACTTATACATAATAGATTTCCAGAACTGGAAGATACCTCTTGAATCAACTAGACTAATATCCTAAAAGCACCATAGCCTCCTAGACCAGTTCATTTGTTACGTTACCTGAAGATGGTCAGGCTTGTCCACAGATACAAAAATGTGTTGAGTGATCAAATTCTATGTAGTGTTCATAGTTCATATCTCCATTGCGTTCTACCTTGCAGAGATGACGGTCTTAAGAGTACAAGTAATGAACACCAGCAGGTTGGGCAAGAATATCACATGAAATATTAGAAGCGGATCACACAACACATTTGTGTCTCTGTGCATGTAGCCAGGGAAACTTTCACACAGACAACATAACAAGGGAAACGAAAAATCACAGATAAAGCCAGCAGCAATTTACATGATTTCAGGTACTTGAAAAAAGTGTTACCACCATCTTGGAAACTGTCTTCAGCTTCAATCATGAACAGCCAATTCACCTACTGTGTTGTCTGTGTGAATGTATATGAAGAAGTAGTCAAAACCATTTGCATGAAAAGGAAAATGGCCTCTGTGAATCAGCCTTAGACAATGTGGGATAAAAAAATAATAAATAAAAACATTTAACAGGAATAGCATAAAAGTATTTATCCTATTTCTTTTTCCAGTCTTCTCCAGTGTTTTATCCCTGAGCAAATACCTGGGCTACAAGCTAGCTTCATTACTTGAAGAATTTTTAAAGCTATGGTTCCCCAAGACTACAGCTAACGTACTGCAGACCTCCGCTAAACAATCCATATTAGGCACGTCACTCTAAACGGGCAGCAGCAATTAACAGTTTCTCTATTTGTTTATATAATAGGGCCAATGCCTTTTGAAGCACTTCAGAGCACTTAACTAAAGCAAACAAGCACTTGAACTTTGAATATCTAACAAGAGGAGCTATTGATAAGTATGACTTTACTTGGCAAATCTTAGTCGCTGACAACTTTAATTCAATGGTCTTGGGGACAATTCGGACATCACTGCCTGTGGTATTACACACTTCTCATATGACTTTAACACATCAGTTTGAAATCATTTGCCACAGCCACTTCAGAAGAGAGTGATTTGAAGGAAAGATGGTGCAGTAGGGAGGGTGTGTGTAACCTTTCCCCCACCTACTAGCTTTCCACCACAACACTTTACCCAAACTAGTTTTCCCCATGATGGTGTGGGTTTCCAGACATACATTTGCAAAGGCGAATACACGTCTGGAATCTTCCTTTGCAGCTGGAGTGTGCAAAGAATTGCAATGAGAAAAACACAAATGGGAAAGCTTTCTATACCAAAACTGTGCTCTCCCAAAGATGCTTTTCATTTTAAAAACTATGGGGGGTTTTGTAGCACATTACATCTCCATGTAAAATGTACAGTAGTTCAGCCCTTAGAGCCAACTACACATTCAGCAAGATTATGTGGTGCAGGTCATAGACTCTACTACTTCAAATTGCAGTAGTGATCTTGTTTTTGAATACTCCCCTATTTAACATGATCCCTCCTTGGAAAAACTGGTCCATCAGGGAAAAATGTTCCGACCTAGACTTCTCACCAATGTACCTGTTTTTTGCAGAAGGGAATATTTATAGGGGAAGCATGCAGAATCATGATCTGCGGCTGCAGTCTAATGTGGCATTAACCCAGAACCCAATGACCACATGACTTTACATATAGATAACCCTACAACAAAAATCCAAGGCAAGTTCTCTAATTTCTCTGCTATTTAATAATGAATCTATGTAATACTCCACTCACTCAAACAACTGTTGATGTTTCAAACTATTTTACATAGAGAAGAAATTGGGATGACAGTGAGGAAATAAAAATGAGGTCAAAGTCCTGCATTCTGAAAACTCCCAGTTCTTTACTTGCTTTCTATAAGAACTATGGATAATCAAAATAGTGTCCCATTTATGGAGCCACATTTAAGTGGAAATCAACAAAGGCATCTTGTCCTCCTGAGTCTTGTCAGTTGTCAAGCACATGTTCAGAGCATGAACCACACTCCTGTTGAATTTGCTGTGAAGCTTGCAGATCTCATAGATAACAATATGAATGCATTGAACCACTGAAAAAGATGTGTAGATTCTCACAATGATCAACTGCAAAACACCACTTCACCATCATGGTGATGGGTCCCATTTTTGAATATAAAAAACTTGACAAGACAACCTAGATGGCTGCATAATTTCATTAAAGTTGCAGACTCATTAATACCATATTTTTACCAGTGTATCATTCTACCGATCTGCATGGCAATGGCTAATATAAGCATGTTCCTAGTCATGCAAATTAAATGCAATGCTCTCAGAAGCACTTTCCCTGCTTACTCCACCATCATCATTAATCTAATAATTTTGTCATGCAAATTTCTGACTGACCTTATGGAGGATCCTGCTGGCAGAAATGGGGAAGACCATTTTTGTCAATTCCCTCAGCAGCTCTTTTTTCTCTCTCATACTGGTCTAGGGGATCTCAGAATGGTTTTTGGGGGGAGTAAAATCAATTAGAAATGGCATGACTCCAATAGTTTAATTCACCATAACTATGGCAATATATTGTTATTCACCATGCCTTTAAGGTATTTTCAGCTTAAGGAAATATATGCACATCTAATGAGCAGCCTGATCCTATCCATGATCACCTGAAAGTCCCATTTACTTCAACCAAGCATGCACAGGATGGCAATCTAACAGTCTTGCTGAGTTTCAATTCAACATTTATTTTTAGATGCTGTGGTACAGAGTGGGTCCCACTGCCATGTGATAAAATGTGCTAAGTACTTATCGTGCAAGAAATGGCTTTTTAAATTCTCTGAAATACTATTAGTTATAATTGGGTTTAATGCATAAAATGGCTGAGTAATTTAAATGTTTGAAAAAGAAAACAGTCTTTCCTAGAGTTTATGAAGTGGTAAGCTATTTCTCATAACGATTAACTGTGAATCATCATTTCAAACATGAGCATCTAGGAGCATATGCTCTATGCAACTGTTGCTGTGAGAGAGCTCATATTAACCAAATTAATGGGTTTAATTTTCATCACAGCCTGCATTTTTACACCAGCAAAAGTCCATTGACCTCTCAGCATAAATTCCTGGGTTTTGCTGGTAAAATAGATCTGTATTTTGGCCACCCTTGAACATCTTTTTGAATTGCAAAATAAAATTAAACAGACTCTGTTATATGGGATGATCCAGTGCTCACCACAACCTTCCTTTAAAAAAAGAACAACCTTACTTAAACTACCATGTTGAGCTAAAAGCTTAGCTATGAAAACAAAGTTGTAGTGGGAGAAGGCAGACAGGGTTGGCCATATTAGACAGTCTGATTATATTGAGTTCAAAGGATGAATGGGAAGAGCTGCTACAGGCAGAATTACTTTCTATACTTGCCCCAACACCATCATGCAGCAATCAGAAAAGCTTACTTTCTCTAATATATGTTAAATGGAAAATGATTCCTAATAAGATGAAAAACTAACTGGGTGCAGTTTCAGTTACATCAGAGAAACCACCTTGAAAGAGGAGGTGATCTCTGGCAACTTAAGTATACAAAACAAGTGACCAAAAAGTTCACCGACTTTGAGCAAATAATTCACTATAATTACTATCAGTGAAAGTTTGGTCATACAGGCTTACAGAATTTTAATGGCTAACATTTGACAGACATTACTTGGAGCATGTTTTGAATTATGGTGCTGGAGGAGACTCTTGAGAGTCCCATGGACTGCAAGAAGATCAAACCTATCCATTCTTAAGGAAATTAGCCCTGAGTGCTCACTGGAAGGACAGATCGTGAAGCTGAGGCTCCTGTACTTTGGCCACCTCATGAGAAGAGAAGACTTCCTGGAAAAGACCCTGATGTTGGGAAAGATTGAGGGCACAAGGAGAAGGGGACGACAGAGGACGAGATGGTTGGACAGTGTTCTCGAAGCTACCAGCATGAGTTTGACCAAACTGCGGGAGGCAGTGGAAGACAGGAGTGCCTGGCGTGCTCTGGTCCATGGGGTCACAAAGAGTCGGACACGATTAAATGACTAAACAACAACAACTTGGAGAATGGCACCCTAATTTAGGGGTGGAAGAAACAAAATATCCTGGGATTTAAAAAATAGAAAGTAAGTTCACTAATTCTAGTATAAAAGAAATTTCATGTAAATTACTGGTACACTGGTCTACAACACTTTGAAATATATAGACAAAAATATGACTGACAAATGTTGGCAACATGTCAGAGAAAGAGGAACATATTAGCATATGTGATGGAAGTTACCTCCAACTTTCCTGGAAGTACTAGGAAATATTATAGGTTGCTTTGCACAAACAGACTGTATCCTATGTTTACTTCCTGTAACAGACACCAAGGCACTAGGAAGCTTTAGCCTTTACTCTTTCAACAATAGTCGTATGTCATCAGACTGGATCAAAATTTGCACAAGTGGATTTCTACTCATGCCTTAATTATTTGCCATGTGGAAGAAAGCAATTCCAGGCTGGCTTGAGAACATACAGTACCAGTATTTTTACAAAGAGACACGAAAAGTAGACTATAGAACCAAATTACATGTAAGGCTAATCTGCATGCCTTTAAAAACTAAAAACTAAAGCATTTGCAGAGGCTTCAACCTAAGCAGAGAACCAGTTCAGGAGAGGATGAAGCTGCTTCTCCCTTTTCTCCTGGCCGTTATTCTCCTCTAAGCTGCTTTCCACCTCGCAGAGAAGAGACTTGGGTATCCATATCTTCTCCTGCAAGTGGAAATGTAGTCTCTGGGGGCAATGTTTAGCAGGGAGAAAGACCAGTTGTATGTGAAAGGACTGCGCAGCCATTTTCCCTATCCACCATCACTGTCCCTCTGCTCAAGATTTGCATCTGCTTTGGGTTTTTAAAGAAAGAATGAAAGGAAGGAAGATATATGGGTGGACCTAGAACAGCCTCTGAAGCATTATATAACCTAACAGGAAACATTTCCTATTCTTGACTGAGAAATGTCAAGATAATTTAAGCCTAGAATCTCAGCCAAAGTTGTAGTCATATACTGATGACGATCAATCAGACACTAACATTATCGTAAGGCCGCATGCCTTGCACTTTTGTTTCATTTGCCTTTCAGTTAAAAGGAAATAATAGAAAGATACTGAAGAAGTGAAAAGCAATTTACTTGGTTTCTTGTAATACAGCTATAATAAATTACTTTTTTGTACTTTAGGTATCATTCTAAGCAATATGCTACCAGGGCTGTCTATTTCTTATAACGAGAGTGGCTAACCTGTGGCCCTCCAGATATTGTTAAACTCCCATCTATCCCAGCCAGCATTGCCAATGGTCAGAGAGTTCTGGTACAGCAACAGCTAGAGGACAACAGGTTAATCTCTGCCTAACAGCTTATATATGAAAACCCCTATCATAGTAGTTTACATATTTAGGCAGAAACCACCACTATTTATTTTATAGTTAAGAAGAATTTAGTAATTTTCCAACTCACAGTAACTTAGGATATCATGTACAGGTCTGAAGGCAGCATCTCTCTTTATATGAGCTTATGAAACTGTCTTATATTTTAGGCTCTTGCTCCATATACACCAAGTGTGTGCTGCTCCCAGTCTGATAGAGTCCCTCATCCAATGTCTTTTCAAGAATAGAGACGGGATTTCTTTTCAGGGCCACATTCCATTATAAGTAATCTATTAAGGGCCACGTAACAACAGAAAACAAGGCTGGAGGCATCAATGAGTGGGCTGAGAGCCCATGGTAGGCAGGTCCATCCCCTCCCCCTTTGTCTCTCTCTGTGACATCCTACCCCCTGCCCCACTCCTTATTCATCCCTGCTTGGTGGGTTACCAGGAAAAGCCAGAGGCGGATGTAGAGGAGCACGACTGGTTCGGTTGAACTGGGTGCAGAGCCTTGGAGCACTACAATGGTTATTTAGAATGGAGCGTGAAAGGCAGAGGACACCAAATTTTGGCATCGCAAAGGACGCTGCTGAAATTGGAGACCCCAAGGTCCGCCACTGGGAAAGATCACTATTGCTAGAGGTCTGAACCAATGGCTCACAGAGAATTATTCCCACCTCTTCCTTCCTTTACTCTATCCACTTTGCCTTCCCACCCTCCCTCCTTCCCTCCCTCCTTCGTTCCTTGGTTACCTTCACCCATGTTAATTAGGTCAAGAGTGCATATGACTCTTAGTCTGCAAGTTCACCAGTCCTGGTATATTCATTGCTGCAGGTTTTTTCCCCTATTAAATAATATTTGCAGTTCCTTCTCAGTTAATGTCTCCTTCAGTTAAAGGAGATTCAAATCTTACTTTTGTAAATCTCAAATCTCTTCTCAATGATATTATAATCACCATATGTAGATGATGTGTATACACACACACACACAAGATCTCCTGGTCCTATGCATTACAGTTTAGTTCTGGAGAGCCACCCCCTCCCTACACACACACACACACACACACACACACGTGTTGAGGCTCATAATTAGCTTTGATGAATATTGTTGCTGTGCTTGTTTAAATCTATAGTCTTTCATAAACACATACATTCATTCAAATTAAAGAGCCAGAAAAAAATAGTACTATGATTCAAATGACTGATTTCTGAGCTATGGCAGCTATGACATAGATGACTTTCACCATAAGGTTACAACCATGTAAAATGATGAACACCAGTTAAAACAATTTACAATCAGAAAAAGAGGGTTGATCCTAAGAAAAAATATTAGTACACTGCCTGTCTCTCATCCCCAAACTTCTCCTGTTCCTCATATTTGTATAAGCTTATGTAATGTAAGGCTATCAATGATACCAGTTGTCATCACAGTTATAGTTCATTTGATTAGATCGTGGTGATGATGATAACACCAAGGTTGTAGGTTCCACCCCTGTATTGCAAGGGGTTGGACAAGATGATCTTTAGGGTCCCTTCCAACTCTACAGTTCTATGATTCTATGATGGATGTATACAACCTTCAGTTTCAGAGGCAGAATGTCTCTGGTTGCCTCTGCTTGATCAAAAGCTGTTCCACCAGCAGAATGTCAGCTCTGGATTTCACTCTCTGTTTTAGACTTTTTGCACTCAAAACAAATTATTCTCTTTTAAGAATGCATTTTTTCTCCAGTCATATTCAGTATGCATTGCACTAGAAAGACTGCAAATATTTTGTCAGGGTTTGTTACGGCCACATCACTCATTTCCTCTGGGATGCTCAAGCAAAGAATTGCCAAAGTTTTCAGTGAGCTCAGAAAAGGAAGTCTCAAAATACGAAAGAAATGTGATTAAAAAAGAGAGACTCGACACCACAGAAGGCTTCACTTTTTTTTATTACCATGTTTTCACTGTCTAGAAACTTTTAAAGAGCATTACAATGTATTTATCACAAGGTGCTATTAACACACAGCTCGCTTCAAGTGTTACCAATTCATGGACAGATTAGAGGGCACATTAATAACATAGTTAATATGAAGTGTTTAGAGCCTTTACGTCGGTGACAAATACGACTCAGCCAAATTTCCTGACCATTGAGGCCACGGAGGAACAATTTGGTAGATTTCATCAACAGTTCTAATTATGTTCCTGTCAAGTTGAGAACAAAGCAATCCATAACTGGGGGGCTGCTCAGAGACAGTGGCACATAAGAGTAATTTATGCCCGAGACAGAGGGCCCTTTCTGTAGTTAGTGTGAACAACGCTCGACTAACAAGTGGGTTCAAAACGGAATTTATTAGGGGGAAACAGGAGGCTTCTAGTTCTGTCTGTCTTTTCGCAGGCAGGCTTAGGAAGCATTATGAGGCAAGGACTTCTAGTTAAGTCTTGTTTATGACAGTGTGTGATGACAGTGTGTGACCCTGTACCTTCGACAATGGTGGAAGCAGGATTTTAGCTGCAAAGCTTCACTTGGACTCTATTTTGATGATTCATGCCGTCAGAATCTCCACCAAAGGCAATTTGCAATGACAAATTTGTAGATATTCGTAAATATGGTACAGATACGGAGGTTCATTTATACACAGACACATAATTGTGTATATGTTTGTGCGTGTCACCCACACATAAGTCTTTGAAGGCAACGTTACACTGTGTGGGAATTTCAGCAGAAGCAGCATAGAAGCAGAATACTGTAAAATACCCTTTTATAGCCGGCTATAAATAACATACCAATGAAATACACAAAGGGATGATTAGCAACTGTAAACTAAAATGCTATGATAAACTTTGCACATTTCATAAGACAGCTGAACTAAGGAGGGGAGGGAGAGAAAAATAAAGGGGGCCCCTCTTGTGTAATTTTAAATCATTTTCCACTGTGATCTATATTGGGCTGCAGTTTGTGTTCTTTCAAACAGGGTAATTTTATAAATGACATTCTTATTAGATTTTGTAAAAAAGGCAAAGATGCTTCCCTGGTGTGAGGAAAAGAGTTCTGATTGGAAACATATCATCAAGGTTGGGATTATTTTGTTACTAATACATTGTGGATTAGCATAAAATAATACTCAGTAAATTAAATTCAGAATAAAACTGAAAATTAAAGAAATGGAAATATTAAGTGAATTAGCTAAAATACACTCAGAATTCAAACACATTACAATTGTTTAATAATAGGCATTGGTTGCTGATTAGTGAGGTGTGGGTTTTATCAACATCATCATGATTTTTCTGTGCTTATTTCAGAAAGAGTGAGAGAGAAATGCTCCTGGCTAGTAATCTTGCCACCCAATGGGATCCACTTTCATAAGTGACTAACAGCTTGATACAGCTAAGGAGATCCATGGACATATCAGAGTGGGTCAGAAACTGCAGGTATTAATTGGATATGGATCCAAATTAGCTGCAGAGTGCAATTCTGAGCATGGATGCTGTCTATCCAACCTTCATTGTGTTAAAACAGGGGTCGGCAACCTAAGGCCCATGGGGGTCGTTTAACCGGCCCATGGACCCCTGCCACCCGCGTGGTCGGTTCCCATGTGCCACTTTAAACTGGCGCGGAGCAGAGTGGGGACCACCTTCCGCGATGCTGGCCGGGTTCCCATTGGCTTCAGGAAGCTCCTGCAGCCAACGGGAAGCTGCACACACCTCCTTCATACCGGAAGGAGCACCGGAAATAGCGTTTGCACATGCTTTAGCTAATGGGGCCTCCCACTGCCACTGTGCCGCCGCCGCACAATTTCTGTTCTCATCCTGAAGCAAAGTTCTTAACCCAAGGTACTATATCTGGGTTAGCGGAGTCTGTAACCTGAAGCGTCTGTGACCCGAGGTACCACTGTATCTACTCACACTTGTTTTTAGCAACAAAGTGCCAGTTCTAATAAGAAGAAATAACATTTGGTACAGTTCTTTTTGAACTGTGCAACTTCTGTTGCTGGATTGCCACCGCGGCGTCTGCAGGACCATGAACCAGCCCAAGCCACAAAAACTTTGCCAACCCCTGTGTTAAAAGGTAGCCACAGTCAGATGCCTTTCCCTATCCACATAAGTAACTTTTTGATTGTGGCAAAAGACATATTGTTGCCACTATTATGAATATGGGTCAGCCTCCTGTAACCTATAGAGGAGTCTCTACTGCCAAGTTTACCCTGAGTGTTCTTTGCAGACATACAAAGCCCAAGCTGTTTAAGGTTAGTGCTTTTAATGGTATCTGAGATGAAGTGCAGATGATGGAATACTAGTGTAACATATTCCTGAGAATCCAACACAGAGAAGCTGCCACTTAGTTGGCGAGTGGCTCACGCTTTGTGCTACATCCTATGTTGTTAGATTGACTGATATTTGGTTCTGCACCACTTGCACATTCTAACATAGTCCTAAGTAAGGAGCCATGTTAGTCGCACTTTAAGTGTGCTAGAATAGTGGTCTAGTCTCAAGGTCGTGAAAACACAGATGGCAATAACCATATCTGAATCTCAAAGAAAAGTTCACAATCTTGTCACTCAATGAGAAGTGAAGACAAACATTCAACTTTGTTTTCCAGATGTAAAGTCAGGAACACACCAAGACTGTGACCTTGTTTGATTGGGTTGGACACCATACACAGTTGTTCATGCTTCCACACAAACCATGAAGCTTGCAGACCATTATTAAGGCAGTCTTGTACATTTTAACTCTCCATCAGTTCACCTGCATCAAGTACCATAGTTACACATGTACCAAACAGCAAAACCACACAATCCAGACCAGGGATGTTCACCTGTGACCTTCCTCTTGTTGCTGGACTACAACTCCCAGTATCCTTTACTATTAATCATGATGGTGGAGGCTGATAAGAGTTGGAATAAAACAGGTTAACCTCTGGAGGGACACAGGTTAGCACCTTTGATCTAGAGCCTTCACCATTTGAAATGATCCTGAACCTCACAACTTGCCTACAAATCGAAAAGAAATTGTGACATATTGGTCCTACAATTTCTTCCAGAGGTTACACATATTTTCTTATATCTCTCTGTCTCATGCTCCAGTCAAATATAATCCAATACAGTGGTACCTCGGGTTAAGAACTTAATTCAGTCCAGAGGTCCGTTCTTAACCCGAGGTACCACTTTAGCTAATGGGGCCTCCCACTGCCACTGTGCCGCCGCCGCACAATTTCTGTTCTCATCCTGAAGCAAAGTTCTTAACCCAAGGTACTATATCTGGGTTAGCGGAGTCTGTAACCTGAAGCGTCTGTGACCCGAGGTACCACTGTATCTACTCACACTTGTTTTTAGCAACAAAGTGCCAGTTCTAATAAGAAGAAATAACATTTGGTACAGTTCTTTTTGAACTGTGCAACTTCTGTTGCTGGATTGCCAGTTAAAACTCCCCTGAATAGAGTTATATCAGGGAGAAGGGTTTTAGCAAATCCTGCTCCTGGACACAGTAACTTTGAATGTTCAAGGAGGTTTTTTGAAAACATAGAACAGGGGCAAGTGGTCAAATTTTCCATAAGCACTCTGAAAGCAGGACTGCACCATATTTCTGCTTGTTTGAAATGTCTCCTCATGTAGTAAAGACATGATGATCCCATTAAGCATCTCACATCTGTGATTGAGCACTGGAAAACTAATTTGGTACTTCATTTGTATGTAGAGCATAAACCGGATACATTTGCAGATTGACTCACCCTATGTTTTATCAAAACAAATCAAACTCTGCTGGAAAGCACAGTCACAGAGATTAAGTTACTACTCTGAAAAGCATCAGGAATTCACTCCTGCCACTATGCCAATTTCCCTAGATTTTCCTTTACTATTATAAAACATATTGATATGGATCCAATAAGAAACTTACATAAAATATAGATCCCATGAATTGAACTGTTGCTTAGTTTGTGAAGAATATTTCAATATGAGGGTGCTACAACACAGTCCTATGCATGTTTACTTAGAATTAAGCCCTAGTGAACAAGTACCTTAATTCTTGGTAAGTATGCACAAAATTCCATCAATAATGTTATAGTATTAAAGTTAAAAATGACAAATTGAAGAAGATTCATGGACACAAGGAAAGGTTCTCATTCAATTATATTTCTAGATACATTTCAATAATATGGGCTTTTATGCAATGCAGCAAGAGTCGGCCAGTGCAAGGATCCCATTTGCGCAATGGGACACCACCACCCCCCTCCGCCAGTGAATCCCCTAAATCTGTTCTGGGGTTTTCCCAAGCCCCCAGAGCAGATTTTAGAAGGATGCAGAGCATGTGAGGGAAAGGAAAGGTGGAGAGGTTCCACTGTGCAACCAGGAATCCTTGCACTGACAGGACACTTATTTACTGCTGTGTTGAACGCAACCCCTATATCCTTATCCATCCAACTTCATGTAGTTTCTGACATGCCTGCAGGCATCTAGTGCTTATTGCAAAACTCTCCAGTGTGAATTAAAGCAAATGTACCATAAATTCTTCTAGTTCTCCTTCTAACTAGTGCCAAAATTTTGAAAGACAACTTGTTTTAGCTAATAAAAGCCAGTGAACTAAACCATACAGTCTGCCAAATACATAGGTCCTATAACTTAGCAGTTCTTTTTGTTTAAATATTATTTGCTACAACTAGAGAACATTTGCTTCCTTTGGAAATGTCACAAATGGTGATAGGCTATAGAAACATTAGCACAAATGGCCATAGGCTATGGACAGTGGCTTATTACTAGTTAAGAATAATTGCTGAGCAAGTTTCAATATGGTGGGAACAAAAAGCAAGAATGAAATTAATGTTGTATCTTCACTAGTGGGTTAAAAACTAAAAGCTGTAACTCACTGAGTTTAACTGCAGACTGCATCTCTTTCATGGATTTTTCCTCCCTCTCTGTTTTTGCTTTCTGAAATCAGAGGAAGGACCCAGCCTAGCAAGTCTGTAATCACTCAGCGGGAACCTGGTAGAAGGACAATACAGCCAACAGCTAGGCATTAGGAAAAAAGAAGGAAATATCTCCCTCCTTCCCTCTTATGTTGCTTAAAGGGGCCTGGTGTGAATGAATCTTCCTGGCAGTGACCAACAATTTCTTACCCATTCTGAGCAATCATCAATTTCAGCATCAAGTGGTTCAGTGGATCTACAACTGGTAGCGGCAGCAGAGTAAGCCCAGCATGGAAACATTTTGGCTAATTTAAAGTCTTTGTGCTGCCGAATCAAACATGACAAGACAACAGCAAAGGAGAGAGGCTATTATCCCAAAATGAGAGCCAGCGGATGGCTGGGATTAGTCTGAGTGGCTGAGACAAAGGCAATGGAAGAAGGAGGGACAACTGAGAAGGATGATCCCAGATAAAAAACATATACCAACACACAGAAACCGTTTGAAAACAGTGCACATGTGATAATACAAAATACAGATTGAGAAAAGTTGTACAGACAAGAAAACAACATACATTTAAAAGGTATACAGTATAACTGGTTAACCACATACAGAATTGCATTAGGCATGCCTTTGACATAAAAAGAGGCAATACCAGAGCTGTTGCATTCTGCCTGAATACATGTCCTGTTGTCTGATATCTGCCATCCTTCCTCAATGTGGGGTGCTCCAAATGCTGCAACTCCCATCTACAGCTATTTATTGACCATGTTAAGGCTGTGGGGTTTGTGGGGGTGTTGAAATGCTGTGAATTAAATGCACAGCAATTTTCAGCAATTGTTCTTTGGTTTTTATGAAATGTATAGATACTGTATTTGTTTTAGATTTTGGTTTGCTACACTTTGGGGCATTTTTGATGTAAGGAGACTAATAAATGACAGTATAACATCATGTTGACCATTGATCATGCTGCCTAGGGCTGATGAGAGTTTAATCTGAAATATCTGGTCCAAAATAGCCATCAGACTGGGGAAGGAAGCACTATGTTAGGACAGAATAGCCTTAAACTGGGGTGGGGTGAGGAACAGTGGGACTGCTCCAGTACGCCCACAGAGCTATCAAGCAACCACACCTCAAAGAACTGGTGGGGGAGGCAGGAGGAGAAAGGCAGAAGAAATAAAATTTTGGACAGCATTTGAGAAAGCACACTCAGAGTGAAGATATGCCTGAGCCATGAACCCTAGTGGCATCTTCCAGCACATAGAATGATGACCTGGGATGACTGGAGAGCAAGTGAATTGTCCTTAGCAAGATTAACAATTTAAAACTGCAGAAATTAATTTTGTTTAATAGCTGTGGGTGCACATGTTCCTTACAAAGGTGGTAACAAGGTCAGCAAAGCCTCTGTAGCCATTTAAAATGCAGCTTTTTAATAGGGTCAGTAGATTTAGGATGGCTAAAATGTTAAAAGGACTTTAGAAAGCATGGAAACACCAAGGGGGTCAAGCTTGTCCTTTATTTCATATCTTGGGTTAACCTGTTTATACTTATTTCATGACATGCAGGCTTTGACAAAATAACCCCCTTTTAAGGGGCTAGTCTTGTGATGGTAGGGTGATGTGAAACTAAGTGAAGGTGAAAGGTTACTAGTGAAAGAAGTAAAAATAAATGAAACACATTACCAATCCTTAACTCAGCTATACTCTTCACAGAAAGAAATAGGCTGAGAGAAAGTGCTAACAAGACACTCCTCATATCCTTTTCATCATTTAGAAGTAGTTCATTCATGACTCTCATCTGCCTACATGAAAGAGAGCACTGAGCTCTACAAACCACTTAGGTATTGTGGAATCGGTCAGCTCAGCTACATACAGAGCTGACCAACTATGCAAATGAGATTTTTTTAAAAAACAGCATAGTAATTGGCATAAGCCTAAAACGAAATTCTGCAAAATTTCAAAATGCCATAACATCATATTTTAAAAGTTTGCAATTTGTATCCTGGTGTCAAAACTTAACCTCAGACGCTAACAATTCCATTGATTTGATTGTTAAATGAATGGAACTGCTACTGAAAAATCTTCAGTTGTCAGATATTTGCAGAACACTCACACATCCAAACTAAAACGAAGCAGGTTAAAATGAGCCCCAAATCATTACCAGCCATTATGGAGATAACCTAGTACAACACACCAGATAAAATAAGTAGGTCTTAATTGCTTTCCTAAAAGAATACAGCATGGGCCAGGTCTCTTATGTCAGAAAATTCCATTTTAAAAAGGTGCTGTCACAGATAATTACTCCTTCTGGACTGTACCTTCCAAGCAAGGGAGGGCAGAGAAAGGAGGAGGATTCTATCAGCCAGTCTCAAAAGGTAAGGGTTTTCATAAGGGACAAGACACCTTAGTACTTCAAGTAGCCCTAAACATGCAGAGCCTTTTAGGTTATTACCTGTACCTTGAACCATGACCAGAAGTACACTGGCAACTGACGCAGACTGGCAAGTACACCTTTAATATTATTTATTTAAACAATTTACATCCCTACCCCCACACTCCACAAAGGAGCTGTTCAAATCAACTTAGAAATATAAAGGCAAACATAAAATAAATCAGTAATTCAACCACTGAACACAAATTACCAAACTATAAACAGCACATGCTCATCTGCACCGAACTCTCAAAAGTGGTGTGCTGTGACAAGTCCCAGTCTTCCAGGACAGCCACACATAAATGGTATTATAGCAATCTATTCAGTATTGACTACAGTATCAAAATATATTGATCACACACTAAAATTATAAAATATTAGCTGTTATGTGCCATTATTAATTTTCAAATTCAGGAGCCTTTTCCTGACAAGGAGGCAACCTGCTGGTCATTAGAAGGATTAAATTAATTCAGCTGCAAGCTTGCCTTTTGACACTTACCAGAACTGACATACCAACCATTTTTCTCTACCTGTCCCACTTGGAGAGAGACAGAACAAAGGAAAATGAGACTTACAGAAAAATTTAAGACACCACTGCAAGGAATATCATTTCAACTGCCACTGAAAACTGCTCTAAATGATACATGCTATTGTATACCATATTGCTTCCTCCTTTTTCTACTACTTGTAAGTCGGTTTCATATCCTCATGCAGCAGTTCAAGGAAACCTCAGTTCACAGTTCAGCAAGGCCCTACTTAAAAGGTAAGCCTGATGCAGGTCCTTAGGGCATCTCATCCATCCTGTGCTTGGATGGCACTCATCACCAAGGGACCCCATTAAGAAGGAAGGGCAAACTGAAATCCTAACCCAAAGCACTCTGAAACACAGCACCAATACACTGGCAAATGCACGATGGATGAGATTCCATTTGTCTTCAAAAGACTGGGAACCAATATATCTGCCTCACTATGAACTCAACTATTTCCCAACCTTGTAGTGTTCTTAAAGTAAAACACACAAGTCAAGCCCATCCACCTGGGGATGCAACAGAAGACCAGTGTCATTCAAGACTCCAATTAAACAGATTGTCTAACTCTCTCTGTATTTGTCTAACACTGCAAGAGATCCATTGTTGTTCTTAAAACAGTTTACTCTGCCAAGGAACAGAAACATACAGGGGACTTGCACTTCAAGGGTCTATTGCTGGTGTTGTTGTCAAATAAGTGTATGTTTGTGTGCTGAAAGAGGGGAAATAATGGATAGAAGTTCTTCTTAGGTCAATCGAAATATTTATCCTCTTCAATAACTTAACATTTATTGGTGCATAGTTTGGTGGTCAGAACTATTTAACCAATTTCTTGACTAACTTATGGCCAAAGCCTTCTATATTTTTTCAGAGACTGGACAAAGTCAGTCCACACCACATTGCATTAAGTCAGAATTTAGCTTAATGAGGTTCATATAAAGTGAAAGCAAAGGACTGAAATATTCCCTGAGTACCACTCATTGCCAGAAAATGAGTCTTTCTTTCTTTCTTTCTTTCTTATTTATTTATTTCTGATATTCATAACCTGTCTTTTACTCAGGGGCTCCAGAGCACAAAATACAAAAAAAAATATCTTTAAAAATGTAACATTATTTAGAACAACCAACCAAACATATTAATTAATTAATTAATTCACAGTCAGTGCTGCCAATGACATTCAGTTAGTAGCAGGATGCAACACAACCATAGTCTAGAATGTACTTCACCTATAGCCCAAAATGTGGACACAGAGGTATATTTTCAACTGTCTGTGAAATGAAAATAAGGTTAAAGGACTACACACACTTCAAGCAGAGTGACAGAGTACAGGAAACCTTGGAGAACAGACAGGATAAAGATGTAATAGCGATACAGGCTATTGGAGTCTCTCTCAGTTTCCTTTCTTCTCCTGAATCAATCCCTTTATACGCGTGCTCACAGTATGCATGGGCTGTGAGGGGAATCGAGATGAAGATGCAAATTTTTGATACATTTATAATTCATAGGACATTTATGTATTGAATATCATTAGAAAAGACACTGGTGTTCTTAAACATCATTATGGATTAACTACATTAACTATTGCAGAGATACAGCAAGAGAGGGCTATTACTCTTCAGTGCTTAGAATCTGTCCTAAATAGTTTTCTCAACCAAATAATTGTTGTAACCATTACACATTATATTATCTCCATTTCCAAAAGAGGGCACAATCCAGCAAAAATCAATAATTAGGAGCCACTATATGCATTGGCTTTCATAGGGTCTTAAATGAACCACAACTCTCTTACTTTCAATGCAACATGTAGCACAAACCAAAACATACTAAGATGTAAGCCCCATTATTTTCCATGGGGCTTGCTCTCAGAACAGCTTACATAAGCTTGAGGTCTTGGTTATGCCTGTTGGTTTCTGGGCACAAAGCAGGGTAAAAATAAAGTTTGATTAAAGGGTCCCACCACCACCCCTCCAAAATCAAGCAACAGAGCAAGAATGAACAGTTCATCTTCTCAGTTCTAATACACTGTGTCTGGATCAAATAACCATGTTAGCTTTCACAATAGCTTGCTCAGAAATATGGAGCACAGAGTGAAAGCAGAACAAGGAACAACGACAAATTGAATTTAAACTATCACATTTATTTCCATCAGACAAAGATATAAACTATTCAGGAATTAAGTCTGTAACAGCAAAAGTAACTCCATTATAATTACTGCACATTTGAAGCCCTGTCTCCCCTCACACACCCCAAGGGTGCAGAGATTTTCAGAACTTGATTTTATTAGAGGAAGACTATGTATTTTCAGCAGTGTTTTACAAAATATTCCATCAGCAGAAGTGTAAGGCAGGTCGGAGACAGACTAACTTTTCCAAGGTATTAAATTAAAAGATGTTGAATTAAGTTAAATGCCCCACATTGAATTGACATTTCCCTTTTTTTAATGCAAGCTAAGATTGATGAAAAATACCACTTATCTACATTAAGGGTCAAAATATCCAGCAAAAGAAGTCTCTGGTTCATCGCGTCAGAGCAAAGTCAGTCTTACATAATCCGAGGACCGAGACGCGGATCACATTCTGATGATCCAATTAATGGTGGGATACTTTGCAATCAGCCAGGAAGCAAGGCCCCTAACAGATTGTGGGGCTGTAACATCAATTTCTTAAGTGCATTTAAAGGATTACAAATGTTAGTCCTGGCTTGAGATTGAAACACCTATTGAGGTGCTCTGAACCACATTACAGTAATTGGGTACCTGAATTAATGCCATTTCTACTGATGGTGAACAGAATACATTGGAAATAAGGGTCCCTTTTGCTATAGTTCTCTTTTGTCCCATCCCCCCCCCATCTGCCCCCCTTCCTTCCAAATGAAGCCTGGCAAAGTATATCCTTTTTATCTGTGTAGCTTTAATTACAGAACATGAATGCTATCCTAATTTTGTCATTCACATTGTTTGAGTGTATTCTATATACTCACTTATTATCAAACTTTACAGCTATTAATATTTCTTGAAGCCACACAAAAAAGGAGAGTGAGAAAGACCACCAGAGAGCAGAGGAGAAACCCTTTTTCCATTTTCTTCTTTACGTGTACCTCTTTATGTGTGCATTAGATACTCTGCAGTAGAGAACAAGAACTGGAGTAGCCTCAATTAGTGTCCTACTGAAGTGCCAAAGTCTTAATTATATCAAAACATAATTCTAACTCTCTCTCTCACTCTCCCCCCCCCCCCGTGTGTGTGTGTGTGTGTGTGTGTGTGTGTGTGTGTGTGTGTTTCAGCCTAGGCATAGGAGAACAAAAATGCTGATAAAGACTCCAGGATGAAAGAGGGACAGTAGAGCAGGAAATGGGCAGGGCAGCCTGAAAAGGAGGGGAGGAGACTTCTTACAGGGTACATTGGTGGGAAAAGACCTAGAAGGGCAGCTACATGATTCTAAGATATTCCCAACCAGGTGCCTAGTTCAGCATCAGCAGAGGGCCACAATGTAGGAGGCAAGTCAGAGAGACCCCTGACTAAAAATACTAATGAAACTAATAATAATTGTGAAAAGTCTTGTGCTATCCTAAAATGCTGGCTGCACTAATAGGCCCCAGGAGGAACAAAAAGGGACAGGGAGAAAGCTATAACTACACGACACAGCAGCAAGGACAAAAGGTGCAGCACCAGGTCAGCGCCAGAGTGTACTATATATCATATTCTCTTATCATATTAAATTGTTTTCAATGATACATTAATGGCTTCTAAATAGGGACCTTGTAGGAAGCAGAGCTTCATGGTATAGGACAAAGCCTGACAGATATTACAAATCTATGCTCCCATTTCCTAGTAGTTTTTGACTCATTAGACTGCTCTGATTGAAATGATTTACATACAGATAATTAACATAAAAACCCCAAGGACTACTTAGCTGTTTAGCAGTATATGCATTATATACAACCATTTCCATATATCTAGTTTTAAATCCATTAACAAAAATTAATTTCTTCTCAGTGCATTACACTGCACAGCATGTTGCAATTGTATGCTTGCTAAATTACACCTTTTCATCACTTCTCAAATGATCTTACAAACAGTTAAACTTTGTTGTTCTGAAAATGGGAATCACTAGTTTTTGGCAATGGATATGTATTAGGCTCAGTCCTAAGTATGTGCATGAGAAGCCTGTGGATAAACTCCACTCCTCCTTATAGTGAACTTAGATGGCAAGTGCCAACAGAATATAGCCAAAATTGGGCCACTGAGAAACAAGAGGGAGATACAGCATTGTCATTGTCAGTTAGCCCAAAGGTTGAATAAGTATACATATAAAAAATAAAAATCCAAAAATTAAAGTTTTTGAGGGCAGTCTCTCAATGAACACTGAGTACGCTCAGGAGCCATAAAATGTAGAGAAACAGTTGTAAAGAGAAAACCTGAATGGGGAGGGGAAGGGCTGGAATGCCCTGCTTGGAGGAGAAAGCTAGCTGGAACCCTGAACAGGATCATTCTATTGAAGATGGAGGATACACTGCAACATTTTGTTGCAGGTCCAATTTGTAACTTTAAAATAGACACACACACACACACACACACACACACACACAATCAACCCCACTGAAAAAGGCATACAGTGGTACCTCGGGTTAAGAACTTAATTCGTTCAAGAGGTCCATTCTTAACCTGAAACTGTTCTTAACCTGAGGTACCACGGTGCCGCGATTTCTGTTCTAATCCTGAAGCAAAGTTCTTAACCTAAGGTACTATTTCTGGGTTAGCGGAGTCTGTAACCTGAAGCATCTATAACCTGCAGTATCTGTAACCCGAGGTACCACTATATATACCAGTGATTCCAATACTGAATCTAGCAGTCTCCTCATGGCTTTTGCATGTAAATTTGTTCAATTAAGAGCTAATTCACCACCTTTTTCTAAAGCACAATTACTCTTTTTAAGTTGCAATTACCTCGGGATGAGGAAGGATATGGTTTCAAGACATCTTCATGTTATGCAGGCATAACAAATAGCCTCTTGTAGCCACAGTTAAGAAGTTGTGAGGGTGGCACAAGCTGCGCCTCCCTAGCCCATCTCCCCCCCCCCCCCCGGTGGAGTAAATTATCTGCACCCATCTTAATTGCACTTAAGGATTATGTCAGGACCTATGTCAACCACGACTGAGATTAACTAGAGCCCTCTTTAAGAGTTCAGGAACTGGGGAAAGCAACACATGGGGGGGGGCGCGCTAGGAAAAAGCCCATTTACTCAACTGCCCCATTCTCTCTTCAGAAGTTGGTGGGCAACTGTCTGAAGCAGGGAGCCTGCTTCTATTCTTGTAAGAGCTTTGCACTATGAAAAATGTACCACACAGAAGCCTTTATAAATACTGTGCAGGAAGCTTCCTTGCCTCAGAGTGACACTCTAATCCACAGAGGGCGATTGTGGGTCTCCTGGTAGGTTGCTTTTCTCAGTTCCTGAATGCCCAAATAAGGCTAATATTTCAGGCAGGGGGTGTTCCCATCACCACCTGGAGATGCTGGGGATTGAGTCTGGGACTGTTATGTACTGAGTTGAATAGGATCCAAAATGCAGCAGTCTGATTGGTCCTAGAACAATAGGATCCAAAATGCAGCAGTCTGATTGGTCCTAGAACAATAGGATTCAGAATGCAGCAGTCTGATTGGTCCTAGAACAATGCAGCAGTATGATTGGTCCGCAGGAACCACCCAATCCAGCTCCAGGTGGAAGTGAATCCACAACCTGATTGGCCTACAGGAGAATCCCGGAAGTAGCCAATCACGTGCAGCCCATTGTGTAAATAATGTATATAAAGCAGATATTTTGGGGGAACTTCCATTCCTCTTTACTATGAGCTGAATAAAGAGCATGAAATCCACACTCAACTCCGAGTATATTTCAGGGACCATGAGCTGTGGTCCTTCCCCAGTTACTAGTGATACTGACAAGTCCCTAACCACGGTTAATGCAAGGAGAGTTTGCTCTGGGAAAGTACTGGGGAACAGGATAGGTACATCTTAATCCTTCTCAGACCAAGGAGAAGGAAAAGCTGCCTCCGCTTACCTTGCTCTTTCTTTCTGAATAGCCGTGCGGATCAAGCCCAAAGGGGGAGGGGAGGGAAATGAATGGGCAGTGGCAACAGCAGTGAGAAGGACATGACCTGAGTCAGGAAAGGGGTCCACTGAGGAGGACATCTTGTCCAAGGGCCTCACAAAATCTGGAGCCAACCCAGTAGGAAAAAAGAGAACATAACTGAGGGATAAAGTGTATACTTTGCACACCTAAAGTCTAGGTTTGATGCCTGGCATCTCCTGTTAAACAAATTGGGTATGCAGGAGATAGGAAAGCCCTCTGCTAGGAAGCCACTGAGACCTACTCAGGGTAGACAGTTCTGGGTTAGATGGACAAATATGCAGGATTTGGGTCAGGGACTGCGGCTACATTAACCATCGCTTTAAAATCTACAGGAGTTTCAGTCACAGATTCCTTAGTATCATTAGGTCTTCAAACACTAGTTAATCAAGTGGGATTTTAATATAAGTATCTATTTTGCAACACAAAATGATCTACATAAAGCACTTTATGAAGTTTGCCTGCAAAGCAGCAAATCTTAAATAAAGTCTTAAACAGATATCTTAAATAAATATATAAACAAGAATTGCACATGGTGAACTGCATGCACAGAATTGTAGAGTTGTAGAATTGGAAGGTACCCTGGGGGTCATCTAGTCCAACCCCCTGCAATACAGGAATCCTTCTCAGAGCCATCCCTGGATGGGCTTGAACCACCAACCTGGTTAACAGCCAGATGCACTGACCCATTGCGCCACATGTTTCATGCTTTTTTCTATATGAAATGAGGCATCACTTTAGCATGAAAAGGCACTTGTGGTATTTGTGAGCAGGCTCAGGAAAACCTGGCAAGGGCATAAGAGGGTCAGCATGGTTGAAAAACAATACGTTCTCACATAACAAAAAAAACTATCACACATGTTTTCTCCTTTGTTAGTTAATGACCAGGCCTTCTACTAATTTCAACAAATGATCGGCAATTTCATGTGCCACAAATCACAATAAAATCATCATAACTGCTGCATTTCGAGCATCAAGCTCCTAAATTATATATTGGCACATGAACCACCTTATATTTGACTGGGATTGTTTTTAATCAATGCAGTTTGCTATGATAGCACGACTCACAAATAAAAGACAACATAACAACTAAATTATTATATGGGATGTGGTTTTGTACAAATCATAGAACAGAACTGGTCACAGTGAAGCCAATTGCAAACAACAATTGGTTTTAGTGGATTTGGATTGTATTCGATGTTGGAAAACCTTTTACATTACATGGTTTTGGTTTTTTTTAAAAAAAGAACCTTCATGTACTCTTTCCATCTTCATATTTCACAAATATTTGCAGTGCAGACCTCAAATCTGAAATAAGCCAGGGAGAACTAATTCATTGTTTACACTTTGAATCCTAGGTGGCCCAATTCCATAAGGGCAGCACAATGGTACCTCACCGTTCTTAGTGCTTATCTCAATCTTAATAACTAGCCAGACAACTGACTCCAGAGTCCTGGCTTATCAACTGGAATTCGTCACATGCACAAGAGAGAAGACAAGAAATGCATTATATTAACAATGCCATAGAAGTATTTAAAGATTTGTAGTCAAATACTGATATGAAGCCATTTTTGTGGTACTTAATTCCACTTGTTATTAAATTTGATAACAAATGAACAAAAAACATGCTTGGTACATATTTATCTGCAACACAGTTTGTTTCCAAAAGATCAAAAGGCTCCTTTTTTACTACATTTTCACCATTGCTATCTAAAGCAATCCTTTTGCAAATAGAATTTGATATGGAATGATTATTTTGAAAACTGACTAAAAAGCAGTCAATGGCGCAAGCCTCTTAAGCACTGAAATAGGTTCTCTACCAGGCTGATCCCATATCTTAGGCACATACAAGGTTTTTTGTTTCCAAGTCATGCTTTGTTCTATATGAAAGGGATTGAGAAACTGTGCTGGGTGTCATCAGTATGCACCTCTGCCCAAATGTCTGAATAACCTGATGCAGCAGGTGCACAAAGGCATGGAAGATCACAGAAGTCAAGATGGGACCCTGGAGCACCAATAAACCAATGGGCATGGGGCAGAACAGTAGCCCTTGGCATCCCCTACTGGGACCTATCCGCCTTGGCCATTGTGTCTATGCCGCTGCATCACTGAGAACGCTGGAGTACACAATTCTTTAAGGTCTTTAAGCAGAAGCTTGACAACCATATGTCAGGAGTGCTCTGATGGTGTTTCCTGCTTGGCAGGGGGTTGGACTCGATGGCCCTTGTGGTCTCTTCCAACTCTATGATTCTATGATTCAATTGGAAGAGATAGAATTCCCTCCTCTCATCTGTCCAGGTCTCAGTTGTACATGCAGATAGTCAGAATGTTGCTCTAGAATTAGGTAACTGATGCTTTGTTCCTATGCTTTCCCATTCCCATTTACTGACCTGATAGAATCTTAAGATACAATAGGCTGCTTGTATGGTGCTTGTGGGGCCTTTGGTTGAGAGAAAAATCAGAAGAAATGGTCACCAACAACCCCTACCTGGTAAGGGTTGGAAATGCACTCAGGTAAGTATCAAAAAAGGAAGAGCAGAAACAAATGTGCCTGCACAGTCAGTTCCACATTCTCAACATAGGTACTGTACTATTATTTTCTGATGGTCCTGTTTTGAGTTTGAAAATGTAGCTTTTTCCAAAACTTAACTTAGTGATGCCTTTTTCAGACTCCCTGTCTGATGGCATCTGAAACCCTGGATCAGCTCTGTATAGTGTGAGGATGATCACTTACACATCTTCCCCTTTTCCTCAGTTTTACTTCTTTCCTGTTCTGCATCTGGAACGTTGACTTCCACCAAGCCACTCTTTAGGGCCAGGGCTAT